GACAAGAAAGCAAAGTGTGCAAATTAGTGAAGTCATTATATTGACTTAAACAAGCACCAAAACAATGGCAAGAGAAATTTGATCATACTTTGTTGACACATGGGTTCAAAATAAATGAATATGATAAATGTGTCTACATTAAGAGAAATGATAAAACTTGTGTTATTGTCTGCTTGTATGTGGATGATATGCTCATAATGGGAAGCGATAAAGATGTAATAAACAAAACAAAGAAAATGTTGAATTCAAGTTTTGACATGAAAGACTTAGGTCAAGCCAATGTCATTTTAGGAATTCAAATTAAGAGAAATAGTGAAGGATATGTCCTTACACAATCCCATTATGCAAAAAAAATATTACGAAGGTTTGGTCAATTTGACTGCAAACCTGCTGCAACTCCTTTTGATGCTGGATGCAAGTTGGAGAAAAATATAGGCGATGCCATATCTCAACTTGAATATTCTCAAGTAATTGGAAGTCTAATGTACTTGATGAATTCAACTAGGCCCGACTTAGCTTATGCAGTAAGTAGGCTTAGTAGATATATAAGTAATCCGGCACAAGAGCATTGGGATGCTTTAGTAAGAGTGTTATGGTATTTGAAAAGTACACTTGACTATGGATTACACTACACAAAGTATCCTCCTATTGTAGAAGGCTTCAGTGATGCCAATTGGATTTCTGACACTACAGAATCCAAGTCAACAAATGGATATATTTTTACCTTGGGAGGTGCAGCAATATCTTGGAAATCCTCTACACAGAAATATATAGCTCGGTCTACCATGGAGTCCAAGTTTATAGCTTTAGACTTAGCTGGCAAAGAAGCTGAGTGGCTCAAAAATTTCCTGGAGGATATTCCAATGTGGCCAAAGCTGGTAACGGCTATATGTATACATTGTGACAGTATGGCCGCGCAATCAAGGGCCAAAAGTCATGTATACAATGGGAAGTCACGTCACATCAGGCGTCGACATAATACTCTTAAGAAGTTGCTCTCCAATGGAATAATATCCATTGATTATGTGAAGTTGAAGGAAAATATAGTTGATCCTTTGACAAAAGGCCTACCAAGAGAGCAAATATTATTTACATCAAGGGGAATAGGTCTCAAGCCAATTCAATGAATCGAACTGGGCGGAAACCTAACCTAGCTGATTGGAGATCCCATGGTCTAGGTTCAATAGGCAAACTAGTTGAGTTTGATTCAAAAGTTGAACACACAACTTACCCATTCTTATGATATAATATGTGTTGTCTGTTGAAGTTTGAGGGGTTATGTTTTATACATTTAATGACATTAATATCTTGTTATCAAGAGGAATATGGTAGACTATTCTTAATTAATGTCACCTATATAGGAGTAAATAGGGCCGCATTTATGAGAATTGACATGGCTAAATTCTCTAAAGCTCCTACGAAATCCGGGATCTGTTCAGGGCCAAAATGAACACAACCGTATGAATTGACGTGTGGCAGACATGATATGTGTGTAGCATATTGTCTCGTTTTACTACTGCGGTGAACAGTTCAAGATCTTCCACATCCACTGCATCACCAAGTAAACCCGATATGTTTTCACTAGGGTAAGTTCAAGTCCAAAAGACACTTCACTCGATGCATATTGTGTCTATTCTCTCTCAATTTTAGGCAGCCTAATCATACATTTGCATTTACATTTGCATTCAAATGTAGGGTGTTATCCATATATTGGTGGTGTTTGAATGAAATTGCAACTCAAATGTGGGGTATTGTTGGAAATTTTGAGTAGAATTTTATTGTCCCACATTGCTCACCACCACAAGGTTTCCTCACCTTATAAGGCTTTGTCCTTTATAGAAAGTGATTGGAGTGATGGACCTTGGAGAGTAAAAATTGGGCTCACTCTTGGGGTTCGGCTTTGGGGTGTAATAATTAATTGATAATTAATTAATATTTAATACATATATAATTAAATCACAGATTGTTGACTTAGATCCAACACAAGCTCATTCATGTAGCAATGAATCCTTTGTGATCTTGCATGCTATATACAACACTTAATAGCTTTAAAAGGACAAGCTTGACTCCTCAAGATCGAGGAGCTTTTCTTCAATTAAAAAAATCAATTAAAATTAAGATTGTACAATAGATTGATTATAGCAAATAGATAAACGGTTTTTAATATTTTTATCGAATCTGCTCATCTGTTTATACAGTTCAATGATAAAAGATCTCATATGTTATTGATTTTTTTTTTGTAAAGATGATCTTTATAGAATGATTTACAATACCAATGAATAAGCATGAAGATATGTGAACTGTCTATGTACTGAATTAAGGAGCCAAGATAATCCCCTTAAATGAACAGTAACTACCCAAGTGCATCTTCACATCTAAACTGAATAGTCTAGGCAATTCGTATTAAAATAATAGTATGTTATAATTTTTAAATAATTTAAATTGTGACTGATGTCAACCTTGTATCGTATAGGCAGGGTGCTGGGCCAGGCGATTATTGCTAACTTCTCCATCGAGCTCGCCTTGAGAATATTCTAGTTTTATTATTTTTTAAGCAATCGTGAGCTTGAATGTCATCTATAATCCTTTAGGACCGTTAGATAACCATTTCGTTAGATTGATTAGATTCAATCTCCTATGGTGCTTAAGATTGATTAGATTTAAGATCAAATAAAGGTAAAAGTGGATGTTTTTTCAATTTAAAGGAACTAGAAGAGGTTAGATTAGGCATCAAAGAAACCTATCTCATTTTAATCTTCCACCATCCGTCGTGATTTAAAGTGATTAGTTTTCTTAATGAATAACTCTTTTTCTACCTTCACTTTGAATCGGTTACTGCAATTGTCATTTACTACAATGTGCCGAGACTTAATTAAATGTGTATGGCTTTTGCTGTTTGGATGTGACGTTTTTTTTTTTTATTTTGGATGAAATGCAGGGAAATTAGTCAAAGAAGGTCCTTTTCATTGTGCTTTCATTAGTAGAAATTGTGGCGGTTACTGCAATTATCATTTACTACAATGTGTCGAGACTTATTTAAATGTGTATGGCTTTTTCTGTTTGGATGAGACATTTTTTTATATTTTGGATGAAATGTAGGGAAATTAGTCAAAGAAGGTCCTTTTCACTTTGCTTTCATTAGTAGAAATTGTGGCAGTTACTGCAATTATCATTTACTGCAATGTGCCGAGACTTAAATAAATATGTATGGCTTTTGCTGTTTGGATGTGACATTTTTTTATTTTGGATGAAATGTAGGGAAATTAGTCAAGGAAGCTCCTTTTCACTTTGCTTTCATTAGTAGAAATTGTGGCAGTTACTGCAATGTGCCGAGACTTAATTAAATGTGTATGGCTTTTGCTGTTTGGATGTGACATTTACATTTTTTTTTCTCTTTTGGATGAAATGTAGGGAAATTAGTCAAAGAAGGTGCTTTTCACTTTGCTTTCATTAGTAGAAAATGTGGAAATTTCTCTTTGCCATATTCAAGGCGTTTAGAAATTGTAGGAATGATGATGCTAACAATAAAGAATAACTCAAAGTCTCTCCAAGTAGTGATCGAGAAAGTATCAACGCTTAATTGCATAAATTATTACAAATATAAAAGAATAAATTTTTAGTTGGAAAGAGATCCTTTCCGAATCTCTCCTTTCAAAATTCAAGGATCAAGTGATTCGAACCTTTGAAATTTGATCCAACGACTAAAAATTATTATAGCTTTTAAAAGTTTTTACTGACTTCTTTATTTTAAGCCATTGGATCAAATTTCAAATGCTCGGATCACTTGATCCTTGGGCTTTAGAGGGAGAGATCCGGAGAGGATCTCTTTAGGAGATTAGAGGTGGATTAGGCATGAAAGAGACTTGTTCTTTTAGTCATACAATTTTTAAGGAATTGTAGGTGATGAGTTTTCTTAATGAGAAACTCATCTTATACCTTCACGTTGAATACTTTTTTTTTTTTTTTTCGTTTTCCTTTAAAATGTCTTGATATGATGTGAGTTATACAATCTAACCCATTCCTAAATATCAGATGAGCCTATAAATACTTTATTGATATTATGCAACATCATTTCATTTGTTATGTATTCAAGACTTAATGCAGGGTGATGGCAACGCATATACACGGAATGTTGAAATTTGAGCACATTCCTGTAGCGACGAATCTTTTGTTATCTTGCATGCTATATACGACACTCAAAAGCTTTAGAAGGACAAGCTCATCCCTGCAATGACGAATCTTTTGTTATCTTGCATACTATATACGGCACTTAATGGCTTTAAAAGGACAAGCTTGACTCGTCAAGGCTGAGGAGCTTTTCTTTAATTTAAAAAATTAATTAAAACTAAGGTGTACAGTAAACTGATTATAGTAAATAGATAGACGATTCTTAACACTTTTATCGAATCTACTCATTTGTTTATATAATTTGATGATAAAATATCTCTTATGTTATTGATTTTTGTTTTGTTTTGGTAGAGATGATCTTTACATAATGATTTACAATACCAATGAATAAACATGAAGATCTGTAAACTGTCCATGTACTAAATTGAGGAGCCAAGTTAATTTACATAATAAATTTTTATTCAAGTCGCAATTTACACGAATCTAACTTAAAACGTTTCACTTATAAATAATAAGAAATACTAGTGACAAAACAATTTTATGGTTTCTTCTTCTTCCTTTTTATTTATTTATTCTTTTTTTTTGGTAACGAGCAACATTTTAGTCTTTAGTTGTGCTTAGTTATTTTCATGTGTGGCCCCATGTTATAATAAGTCATGACGGATTAACGTCTTCACTTTTTAGTTTCTTTCATGCCATGCAAATTTTCTTCAAACGTACATTGGGGTTTGAATAATTCAAAGCTAAAAGGAAACAAATAATCAAAACTACAAAAAAAAAAAAAAAAAAAAAAAAAAAAAAAAAAAAACACCGTCATGCACCTTTGGTTGCTCATATATATATATATATATATATATATACACACACGCAAACCTGTTATTGTAAGCAGTATCTAAGTTAAAAATGGCTTATGGCTTCCTCCTCCTCCTATTATTTGCTTGCACTATATTTACAACAAATGTTCAAGCATGCAACCAAACTGAACGCATCTCTCTATTAGCTTTCTCCCTCACTCTATCTTCTTCTTCCGTAAATTGGAGTAGTTCTGTTGATTGTTGTCGTTGGAACGGCATCACTTGTAATCAAGAGGGTTGGGTCACCCATTTGCTCTTACCCTCCAAAGGGCTCACAGGAGGTATGTTTGTCTCATCACTTGGAAATCTCACACATCTCACCCACTTGAACCTTTCACACAATTCACTTTATGGTGCACTTGAAACCAAATTCTTCTCATTCTTAAAGCACCTTGAGATTCTTGATTTGAGCTATAACCTACTTTCCGGAGAGATGCCATTTTCTCTACCACAAATAAATATTCAGACAATAGATTTGTCAAGCAATCACTTCTACGGTGCGATTCCATCTTCTTTCTTCCAACAAGCTTGGAATTTGACAAGTTTCAATGTCAGCAACAACACCTTCTCTGGGCATATCCCATCATCTATTTGTCTCCGATCGCCTCCTTCCATAAGACTATTGGATTTTTCCTCCAATGAATTTAGTGGCAAGCTTTCTTGTGGGTTTGGCGGGTGTTCCAAATTGCAAATTCTTCGTGCTGGTCACAATAATTTGTCGGGATCACTCCCAGATGATATCTATAATGCTACCAAACTTGAGGAACTTGCATTACCTCTCAATTCACTAAATGGAGCCATTAGAGAAAGAATCGCCAACCTCACCCACCTCACATTCCTTGACTTCTACTTTAATCATCTGAGTGGTGAGCTCCCTCTCAATTTCGGGAAGCTGTCCAAGTTGAAATTCATGAATCTTGATCTCAACAGCTTACAAGGCAATTTGCCCCCATCTTTGATGAATTGCACAAACCTCGTTGAACTACATTTGGGATTCAATTACTTGGAAGGAGATCTCACCATGCTTAATTTCTCCAAACTCAGCCACCTTAGTAAACTTGACCTAATAAGGAATAACTTCAGTGGTTTCTTGCCAAGACGTCTTTACTCATGTTGGTCCCTAAAAGCAATTCGTTTGAGTGATAATCCTTATTTAAAAGGAAAAATACAACCTGAGATCCTTTCATTGAAATCCTTGTCCTTTCTATCGCTTCGTAGTGTACAATTGACCAATATCACAGAGGCAATGAAGATATTAATGCGTTGCAAAAGTCTTCAAACACTCTTCCTTAGAGGTTCATTTAACCAGGAGGCAATGCCAACTGATGATGTCATGGTTGATTTTATTGGATTCCGGAAGCTTCGTGTCTTGAGTTTGGCTAATTGTGGGTTCACTGGTCAGATACCTAGATGGTTATCAAACCTAAAGAATCTAGAGATGTTGGATTTGGGTTTTAATCAAATCACAGGGTCAATTCCAAGTTGGTTGGGGACTTTTCCAAAACTCTTTTCTGTGGGTCTGTCATGCAACAAAATTTCAGGTGAAGTTCCAAAACAACTTTTCGGATTACCTATGCTAATGATGAATGCATCTCGAGCAGACAATTATGAATTCGAACTTCCCCTCATTGGCGGCCTAATAAAAAATCCAAGTTTTATGGCGCGTAGAACGTCTAACCTGCAAGGAATGATAAACCTAGGGGGCAATAACATTAGTGGTAGTATACCTATTGAGATTGGTCAATTAGGGCTTCTTTGTGAGTTGTATCTTGACGACAACCACTTCTCTGGCAACATTCCTGACCAAGTATCTAATCTAAAAAATTTAGAGATTTTGAACCTCTCCATGAATCATTTGTCAGGAAAAATTCCCTCATCAATGACGAGCCTTAACTTCTTGAAAGAATTTAACGTATCGTACAATAATCTCGAAGGACAAATACCGACGGGCACGCAGCTTCAGAGCTTCAGCACTTCTGCATTTGAGGGGAACCCTAAACTTTGTGGTGCTCCACTTCCAAATGTGTGCGAAGAAATTGGTGCAGATAATAAGAACAAAGTCAACCAAGATGTGGACAATGAAGGCGACAAGCTTCCTTGGATTTATATCTTTGCAACCCTAGGTTTCATTGTTGGATTTTGGGGAGTTTGCGGTTCTTTAGTTCTTAAGAAGACATGAAGGTAGGCATATTTTTGGTTCCTTGATAATGTATGAGTGAAGATGGCAGTGTGCATGGCCAGGCTGAAAAGAAGGTTTAGGGACTAGATTCTACTTTTCATTATATATTTTTCTTTTTCAATAAAACTATTTGGATACACAAAATCAACACACTTGGTGACACACTCTCTAATAGAGTGGAATCTTATCATTGTATGTGGACTGCAGTTGTATGAGGGAGTGTGTAAACAAATGTGTTAATTGTGTATATCCAAATAGTATGACTCTTTTAGGTTTTATTTGTTTGTTTTCATCATGATGTAAGGATTGTTCTAATATATAATAGTTCAATGAAACTATTTGGACACACACAATTTACACAACTGTAGGTGAGACTCAATATTAGGAAACTCACCTAATATTTGTAAGAATCCTAGTTTAGTTGTGACAATTTTCACGTTGAATACTTTGTTCTAATATATACAGTTCCTTTAAAGCTTTTCCACAACTGTAGGAAGTTAGGGATCATTCCTTGTAATTTTTAAAAAATTTGGTTCCAATTCATGATTTAGCATCCAAATTGAAATAAATTGAATACTTCTTCGTTCTTTTCTAGTCTCTCGTTAATAGTATGACATTCGAGAAATATTGTTGGTACCACGTTGATATTTCGTACGAATGTATGGTGTTAGTTTGAGGTTGATATTCCCTATTAATGTATCTAATTTCAATCAGATGTCCTTTAAACTTCCACTAGACCCTGAAGAAATTTTTTCGTATGTCATAAATACAGTCTAGTATACTAAGTGTCATAATAAAAATGGTTTGAGGTTTTTTTTTTTTTTTTCAAATATCCAATCACTTGTTATGACGCTTAGTGTACTAAGTCGTGTTCCGAACACACTGAAAAATCTCTCGTAAGTGTTTACAAGTGCAACACTGGGCTAAAATTTTGTGAATCCAAAGCCCATCAAAAGGGAGAAGCATATATTTTTCCTATCAAATTAAACACACTTGGCCTTGTACAGTTTGTGCAGGGGGCCATGGCCGCCACCAGTTTCGTAGCAGCGTCGATTGTCTGAAAAGCAGTTGTGGCTTTTGCTCTCTCTCATCCTCTTCTTCTTTTAAGCAACAAGCTCTCCTACCAAAGGACTCTTATCTCTTTTCCTCTCACTCCTCGCATAAGTTCATCAAGTTCTTTTGAGCTTTTAGTTGGATACTAGTCTGCTAATTGATCATTTTGTAATTTGATAAGCCAATATTATACTATATATTTTGGGAATTGTTATTGGCACTCTAAAAATTTCATTTTACACTCCAAACTTTCTATAATTATAAAGAAAAATACGCTTGTGAGGAGTGTATAATGAATTTTTGGAGTGCTAATAACATTTCCCTATATTTTACTCTAATCTTAATATTAATCTGAAAATAAAACTTTAGCCCCTGAAACTCAATTTTTGTTACATAAAACCAGACATAATTTTTTTACTTGAATAAAACCAATTGACTACGCTCCACACAAGCAAATTTATTAATTATGTTTTACTTCACTCATTGTACATTTTAATGCAGAGGTCGCACTAGGTGCGATGGCAAGTGCCTTCGTTCATGAGCGGTAGGTCTCGGGTTCGAGACTTGGGAGCAGCCTCTCCATAAATGGGGGTAAGGCTAGCCAACATTCACCTCTCCCAGACCCTGCGTAAAGCGGGAGCCTTGTGCACTGGGTACGACCTTTTTTATTGTACATTTTAATGCCTAAAATACCCTTAATTACATTTTTGACCTATACAATTAATTGTATACGGATTAAAAGGTGGATGAATGATTCTTGAAAAGACAAATAAGCATTAATGTGTCTTCATAGTGTGATTCCATCACTATACATATATGTATGTATATATAAGGGCAGATCCGTGACGTCACATATTTTTTACACAAGTTTTAGATCATTAAATTTAAAGAAAAGTAATGAAAAATGTTTGAAAATTTTGAGTTTTAACGATAAAGACAAAATAAAGGGAAAAGTGAATAGTACTATGATTGACTTTTTAGTGTAAAAATGTGATTTTTTATTAAAATGAACACTACCGGGAGCTTTTGGTTAAAATTTCCTTAAATTTATACACTTTTAATAGTTGACATGTAATCTAATTAGTCCAATTAATTTCTTTTATTTAAAAAATGGATTGGGAATAAAATTTTAAAAATCTTTTAATTAAGATTTTTATATTCCCTCTCACCTCATTAATTGTTTTTCATTAATTTTCTCCCTTTCTTATTGGACTCTTTCTTCTCCTTTTCCCTCATCATCGTTCATCTTATAGGAAAGGGATCTTCTCTAGATCATTTCCACCAAATTCACTACGACCATAAATTCAGGTTTTTGAAATTTGATCAAACGGTTAAAGTTATTATAACTTTTAAAGTGGTCTATTTATAGTCATTTGATCAAATTTCAAGGATTTGTGACCTTGGTAGATTTGATGGAAGGGATCTGGAGGATCACTTCCCCATCCTATATATATATATTACATATTTCTTTTTCTCTTTCTTCTCCATTCATCCTCCAATGGCCATGCTCTTTTCCAAGTTTTTGGTTTTGTTTTTAAATCTCTTCTCCATTAATTGTTTTTAAATCCATTCAGACCCGATGCCTTATTCCTTGGAGTTTTTTTTTTTTTTTTTTTTTTTAACACAAACATAATCTCATTCTATAAAAAAACGTTGCAGAACCTAGCTAATTACTAGCAACAGATTAGTGCGTCCAGGAATCACCCATTTATTGAAGAAAAATTTGAAGTGTTTTGCAGCCTACGAGCCTCATGCATCCCATGATTACCATACCTAATTATTTGGCTGCACAACCCTAACTCAATGTGAAATATATAGCCATATTAACCCCTTGAGATTAAAAGAGAAAAGAAAAAAATTCCGAACATACATCCTGAAAATGTAAATTCAAATAATATGATGCCCAATTTTAGGTTTCTTACCGAACCGTCGGAAAATAGACAATGGGAATGAAGTATTCATTCTTTTGTAAATATATATTCTTCTTTCTTGCAGTCATATTTAGAATAGTAATGCAATTGTATAAATCTTAGTAGATTTAGGAATATTTAGAATAGTAATGCAATTGTATAAATCTTAGTAGATTTAGGAATATTTCTTATATTCTTATTAGGAGTTGATTACCTATTAAGAGTTGTAATCCTAAAAGGGTACGATTTTTACTTATCCTACTACTATAAATAAAGGTACAATGAGGTGATATAACACACACCTCACAATTAAATCACTTTATTCTCTTTCTTGCTACCGATGGCCCCCTCTCTCTCTAATGACTTATATTAGTTCAATCAAATAGGTTTAAAACAATCTTGATGTTTTGCTATTGAAAATATGGATACAGAAAAAATATAAAGAAATAAAGAAGTAGAGAAGAAAATATCAGACGAGGATGAATGGAGAAGAAATGTCACATCCTAGCCCGGGCCCCTACCATATTCCGGGCTCGACTCCACCGTAGCATGATATTGTCCACTTTGGGCCCCAACCACGCCCTCACAGTTTTGTTTCTGGGAACTCACGCAAGCAGAACTTCCCAATGGGTCACCCATCATGGGATTGCTTTCATGTGCTATTCGCTTAACTTCGGAGTTTCGATGAACTCAAAAGCCAGTGAGCTCCCAAAAGGCCTCGTGCTAGGGAGGGATGGGAATATACATATAAGGATCACTCCCCTAGGCGATGTGGGATCTTACAATCCACCCCCTTAGGGGCCCGACGTCCTCGTCGGCACACTTTCGGCCAAGGATTGGCTCTGATACCAAATTGTCACATCCCGGCCTCGGCCCCCACCATATCCCGGGCTCGACTCCACCGTAGCACGATTTTGTCCATTTTGGGCCCCAACCACGCCCTCACGATTTTGCTTTTTGGAACTTATGCGAGCAGAACTTCCCAGTGGGTCACCCATCATGGAATTGCTTTTGCATGCTACTCGCTTAACTTCAGAGTTCCGATGAACTCCGAAACTAGTGAGCTCCCAAAAAGCGTCGTGCTAGGTAGGGATGAGAATATACATATAAGGATCACTCCCCTGGGCGATATGGGATCTTACAATCGATCAAGGCATGCTGGTCGTCACGTGAGGGTGACGTAGCCATATGCACATTGCGGAAGCAATAAAGATAAACAATATACGAATAAATAAAAACCGAAAACTACTAATGTGCACTTATAAACATGAAGTGCTAGGAGTGAGATAAATACTCCTAATTAGAGCAAAGAAAGTTTAGGTGCAGTCCAGTAGGACAAGTACTAGTTATACAGTACCAGAAGATGTCCTACAAATATTTTATTCTGTCAGAACCACCAAGATCCTCAATGCCACCAAAAGCAAGTCTACCTAAAACCTGGAGGGGCGCAAAACAGAAAATGTGAGTGGGCAAAAACAAAGGTTTTGAGAACACATTTAACTTTCAAAAGCTTTAACCTCTCGCCGTAAAACAGGTATACTTTTTCCCAGAAATAGAATATAAATATACATTTATATATATACTCAAAATCATGATTCACATCTTCATAATCATAAGTATGACATGCCAAGATATAAACAGGATAAGTAACTCAGGTGAAAAATAAATTCATGAAAAACATCACATTAGCCGGAACCCCTGCAGAAGTCTGTACGGCTGAATTCATAGCTCATTGGTCAATCTAGCTGGAGTCACTACTAATGACCTATACGGCACTACACTGCAAACAAGTTGGAACCACTGAAAAGGTTTATATGACAAGACTGGGTGTAATAGTTGTTTGTACCATACTTGACTAATCCCGAAACTATTGAGCACTGGTCAACGTTATACCATCAAGGACCCAGAAGAGTTTCCCTCCAACCAGGAGGCCAATCACAGCTCGACACGTGTTGACATCAGAAGCCAATCATAGCGCGACACATGTCAACATCAGATGTCAATCGCAACACGACACGTGTCAATGTCAGAATGAAACTAGAAACTCTCTTCTATAAATAGAGATCATTCTCTCACAATATTTCCTAATGTCATTTGTACTAAATCATTCGCTTGTACTCACTAAAGGAGAGCTTGAACCTATGTACTTGTGTAAACCCTTCACAATTAATGAGAACTCTTCTACTCCGTGGACGTAGCCAATCTGGGTGAACCACTTACATCTTGTGTTTGCTTCCCTGTCTCTATCCATTTATATACTTATCCACACTAGTAACCGGAGCAATCTAGCGAAGGTCACAAACTTAACATTTTCTGTTGTACCAAAGTCCTCATCGATTTTGTGCATCAACATTTGGCGCCGTCTGTGGGAACGACACTTATTCCCACTATTTTCAGCTTTGCCAAGCTGGTTTCCACCATTCGTACACTCTCTTTTAACCAAGCATCCCTCTCCAACATGGGGAACGAAGGAAGCCACATCACACAGAATGACACCCCTCTTGCACCTAGTGCGAAGCAACGAAAGAAG